TACATGGTCTACCATGACCGATAGAAATAGCAAAAGAAAATACAAGGGTCGTAAACAAGCCTCTTGCATGAGGCCTCTAGGCTGACTTCACAAAACTCTGGGTACTTTCTTAAACTCCACTAAGGCTAGGGTTCAACGACCATTTTCTCACCTACATACATATAAATAAGAGTGAACTAACGCCCAGTGAATAATACCAAAATAAAGAGGTTAATGAATGAGATTCATTCATAAATGAGTCATACTTATAATGTAATCATTTGAACCACTATTCTCATTCACATCAGATTTACAAATCTTAACCAAGCAAAACGACCTCGGGTCCAACGCATCATATCCATATGCAAAACGACCTTAGATCCAATTCTTATATAAAACAAAACGACCTTGGATCCATCTATACAAAACGACCTCGGGTCCAATACTCATTCATAGACCGACTTTAGGTTTATTGGATCCATGTACCAATAACCACCGGTCCTCCACATCATATTACCAAATGACCTTGGGTTCACCATTCTTATATTCATGATTATGCGCATATGATCGGAATCTCATCTGTACCCATATTCAAAATGACCTTTGGTCCAACTAATTTTTTATTCAAAACGACCTTTGGTCCAATTCAAACATATCAAACGGCCTCGGGCCCAATTCAAACATATCAAACGTATCGAACGACCTCGGGCCCATTCTCTTTATGTTCATATCTATTCATAGTTCATATTCATGATCATGATCACTTTTCATTCAAACGGCCTTTGGCCCATCACGATATTCAAACGTATCAAATGGCAAACAGCAAATGGCCTTAGGCCCAAATCATGTTCTTCACAGAGCCTTATACAAAAATTAGGCATATAGAATACTCTTTCATAATTTAAATCAATAGATCCATGAAGCTTATACAGAAGTAGCATTTGGAAAGTAACATACTTGAAAATATCTTTACTAAGATATTACTCACAGTGTTCAGATTGTTGATTCGTCCTCGTGGATGCCCCTACACAATTCATAAACATACACAAATCGGATCACAAAACTATTTAATCCACTCTTTGACTTGCTTATTTCTTTTAGGCCTCTTCTTATCCTTTTAGTTCATTTACAATGCTCAATGTTGCCTAAGAGTACTTAGAAATGAAAGAGAACGGAAAACAGAATGTGAAGCAACTTTTCAATATTTTATGAAACAGGTTCCTCTGCTCAAGCGCAACTTTGGATGGTCGAGGGAACCCCTTTGGTCTGCAAAAGTACTGGTTACCTCAATTTCGAGCTCAAGCGTGACTTCGGATGCTCAAGCTGAGAGCCAAAACATGTGACTTGGCGCTCGAGCATGACTCTTTCCGCTAGAGCGGATATCAATGTCTGCAAAAGTTCTGGGAGCTAGAATTTTATGCTCGAGCGGTGCTTTCCCCACTCGAGCAGACTTGATGAATTCTAGAATTTCCAGAATTGTTCTTGAAACTCAAACTTGATGTTCAAAGGCCCAAAACTCATTTTTTGGTACAAAAATGTGGGAACACATTACATAACATGAGAACATAAGCAATATGAGACCAATTGTTCAAAATCATGGTCCATTTCCAAAATCATCCCCAATTTCCCTCATCAATTTCAAAACTCATACATTCATCCTCATACAAACTTTATATCTTCATCAATCATGCATGCATGTTAATTTTTTACTCTGATTCTATTTCAAATGGCACAAATGATGCTTATAATCATGAAGCTCATGAAAATTATGCATGCATATGAATTTTGGTGCTCAATTCTTCATAATTATGCACATTCATGGTAAATCTTTACTTACATAGAAACATTAACTTCAATTTCATCATATTTAGCTCAATTCTTGACCTTGGTCACATACCATGCTAGAATTCATGCATTTCAAACCTTCAAGACTTAGAAAACATGATTGCATGTAAGTGACAACTCCCAATTCAACATGATTATTAAAGTTCATGTCCAAAACTCGAAGAATCAAAGAAAATACTTGCATGCATATATAATTTCGTCTCAATTCTTACAATCTTTGTTCAATTCACACATTTAATCTTGTTATCTTCTTCTTAAACCCATAATTTAATGACTTAACTCACAAATTGAGGTTCAAACTCTTACCTACTATCTTCAATGATGCTAGGTTCAGCAATTTCTTAAGCCTAGCTTCCAAAATCTTCAATCTTCCAAGCCAATACCTCAAGATTGAGCTTCTATCTCACTAAGATGAAGATTTCTCTCTCTATATAACTTAATCTCAGCAAAATGGTGAAGATGAGCTCAAAAATATGAGCTTAAGCATACTTAGCTTGTTTATATAGGCTTTCCCTAATTACACTTAATTTGAACTAATCAATGGTGCTTAATTAATTCAATTTAAACTAATTGATTCGCTCCGAATCAGTTTTCAATTACATTTCATCGTAGGCTCCAAAAATTACGCTAATCACAATGGCTTAGTCAATTTCAATTTCTATAACCTCTACGATCTTCAATTTAAATTTTAAAGCAGAAAATCAAACAGATTTTCCTACGATGAGTAGATAGAAATTCAAACACACATATAATCATATAATTATCACTCAAAATCATATCAAGCATATAGTTTCAAACATAATTAAGATTAATTAACATAATACGAAATAAAGTTATCACAATATTAGTATTACTTAATTGTAAATAAGAAAACCCTAAATGTTTAATTAACACCACGAGAATAACAAATTAAAATACTAATAAAACAAATATATAAATCCAATTTGGCGTTGGATTATTAAATATGTGATTAATTATTTGGGGCTAAACTAACACAATTATGAAATTATAATACTAATTGAGCCAAATTAAAATTAAAGATTATATTAAAAAATAAATAAATAAAAGGGCACGTCACCACCCTAGCACATAGGGTGGTGAATATGCATATATAGTAATAGGATAAGATTATCCAAGTATAAATGAGGAATTAATTGGAGGATGCTTAAGACGCCACCTGTAGAAGTTATTATTGGTAAACAGGTATGAGCCATCACTTTGATGGTGGATATAAGGACGCGAAGAGTAGGTTGCTAAACAAGAAATAGTAGGGCAAGGCACGGGGAAGTTCGGAAGGAAAAACAAATAAAGAAAGGGAAAGAAAATATTGAAAGTCAAGAAGGTCTTTGATAGTAGAAAGAAAGAGTGAGGTATTAATTTTGAAGTGAGTTATATTATATCTTGAGTTACCATAATATATTGTACGTATGTTTTGAGTTACAATAATTTATTTTATGTAAATTGTGTTTTACAAATTATATTAGCATTTTTAATTTATGAACCTTATTATATATAATAAGGAAAACCCATGAATAATACTGTTTATTAAAATGTGTTTTGAGTAATTATTTTATAAATATCACCACAGAGGTCCCACGCCTTAGGAGACTTAAATAACCATTGGCCCTCTGATTAGTCACTTTGTGACCCTCTGTCTGTCATGGATCCACTGACACTCTGATTTCTGGTGTGGAGCAAAGTACTATACGGAGCTAAATGTTACACTATTGTGGGAGCCACCTCTAGAGTTCGTACGAGTCACCTCTCGAGTCCATACATCTATTCCGTTCTGTACTGTGGTTATACTTATTTTGTCTATATGATTTCTGTATTATATGTCAAATGATTTCTGTATTATATATTCTGTATTCTAATATCAAGCTCTGTTTAGCCAATAATTATCTATGGTGAATTTTATGCCCCTTTGCTCTTAGTATAATATTTCTCACTCTGTCATGTGCATATAGCTGTTTTCTAATTTTCAAGAAACAATGCAATCCAAAAATAGTTTTTGGAGAGTCTTAGACACGGGGCTTCGAAATAGACACACATAGTACTTTTATAGTATTTATAATTCTATTCTTCATATATAAATATCAGCCTTTTTGGTCAATAAATTTTGTTATAAAAATAAAAACTCCGATGATTATTTTGGTACCCTCACTTAAATTTTATTTCCACTCGCATTTATTAATTTGTGTAAGAATTGGCTGAAGGTAACTTTAGTTACTAGCCATCACAATGCTTAACCCTTGGGTATAGGGAGCGAGTCGTGACAGCTTCAGACCCATATACTAGGGAAAATTGAGTTGCTTGAGTTGGCTTCCTCTTTGACGTTCTATATGCCCAAAGTGCTACGGGGAGTTGTTCGGACCATGTACCCCCTGCTTCATCCATCATTTTACTCAATATTCAGATGAGAGTTTTGTTGGTTGCCTCAGCTTGTCCGTTCCCTTGCGGGTAGTACGGGGTAAACTTGTGGTACTTGATCTGATAAGTGTCCAGCAATTTTCCCACATGACGGTTCACAAAGGGGGTCCCATTATCAGACAACATCATCTTGGGTTGCCAAACCTATAGATTATGTTTTCTTTGATGAAGTTGGCCACTCCTGCCCCATCTGCCTTCCTCATCGGTATAGCCTCTACCCACTTGGTAATAACCTTAGTCGCTACAAGTATCCATCTGTGGCCTTTAGATTGCTGCGCTATAGGACCTACCAGGTTAAATGCCCAAGTATTAAACGGGTCAGGGATCTTGATGTTATGCAGTTCAACCGCCGGTGCATGTATCAAGTTTCCAAACTTCTGGTAGGATTGGCATCCCCTTACAAAGTTTTTAGCAACTTCTTCCATTGTCGGCCAGTAGTAGCCGAGGTGAATAAGGTATCCATATAATCGTTGCTCTCCTTGATACTATGTCTTGTGAGCTTCCCTCAGCACTTTGTTTGCCTCATCATTTGATAAACACGCCAAAGGTTCCCCTTCAAAGCTTTTGTGATACAACTTGCCTTGGTTAAGGAAGAAGCGAAGGGCTTGCTTCTAAACTTTAATTGCATCGACTTTGTTCTCAAGTAGTGTGCCATTTCCAAGATAGTCAATATACGGCTGCCTACATTCCTCATTGCTTAAAAAATGGGCTTCTTCCTCTTTAGGATGAGACTAACATTTTGCACATTACTTCTGTAACTCAATGCTTTCCTTTTCCATCTCTAGCCAGTAATACCATTGTTTTTGTATCCGTCGATATAGATTGATAGCTCCATCTCCACAGGACTTAGCATGGATTTGCTTAAGTCTGTAAGCTGCTTCTTGTTTGCCAACACACCTTGCCAGCAGGTTGTTGGGATCGCAAAAATACAACTCTCTTCTGAGAAGTAGAAATGATGCAAGTTCTGCTAATCTGATTGTTCCCTGGCCTATTTTTAACTGCTGGATTATATCTGCTTTCCACCCCTCAGCATCTTGCTCTGTATGTTCTTCGGCTAACACTGCTGGTGTTGTTCTTTTCTCGATGACGATGGCTATACAATCATCTGGTATATCCACCATTGCCCCTAGTGTAGCCAAGACATCGGGGAAACAGTTGTGTGTTCGAAGGGTATGTTGGATTTGGACGTCATCAAACTGAGTAAGCAACCTTTGAACTACGGTGCGACATAAGGCCAACAAAGGCTCCTTCAAAGAGAAATCACTCATTGTTTGCTTGACAACTAACTTGGAGTCGTCCCAAATTTTCAACTTGCGGAGGCCTTTCTTTTGAGCAGCAATTAGACCCAGTATCAACGCCTCATATTTGGCCTCATTGTTTGAACATTTAAAATCAAACTTCTCTCCTTCTTGATTGATTAGTATTATGCTAGCTCCACCTTTCCCAACCTCGGAAGCTCCATCAAATTTTAAGTCCCAATAAGTCTCAACTACAGTTGTTGAGACATGGATTTCACCTGGTAGAGGTACCTCTGCAAGTTCATGTTCACCAGATGGGAATTGGGCCAATAAGTCTGCAAGTGCTTGGCTCTTAATAGCCTTGGGAGTAACACAAGTGATGTCATATTCTGCTAGAGCCAAAATCCATCTTGTTATTCTTCTAGTCAGAGCGGGCTTGCTCAGAAAATAGCGAACTGGATTACTTCAGGTCACAACCTGGATCGGGTGTGCCAAAAAATAATGGCGCAACTTCTACACTGTGAAGATTAAGGCTAAACAATGCCTCTCAATTGGGATATATCACAACTCGGCACCATTGACTTTGCGACTGATGTAATAGACCGGCTTCTCAATGCCATCTATGTCTTGGACAAGTAGAGCTCCAATAGACCGAGGTGTAGAGGTCAGGTACAATAATAGAGGCTTTTTGGGTTGTGGGGCCATCATTGTAAGTGAAGAGGCAAGTGTTTTCTTCACCATATCAAATGCCTGTTGGTGTTCTTGCAACCATTCAAACTTGTGATTCCCTTTCACCAGTGTCCCAAAGGAAAATGTTATCTCAGCAAGGGTTGGAATGAACCTCTTGAGGTATGACTCTTTGCCTAGGAATTTCTTTAAGGCCTTTTGAGAGTGTGGTGGTGACATCTCCATGATTGACTTGATCTTATCTCCATCTACTTCGATCCCCCGCTGGTGTACAAGAAGCCAAGGAACTAGCCGGCGGTAACTCCGAAGGCACACTTGAGAGGGTTCATCTTTAGGCAAAATTTGCGGCAACGATGAAATTTTTTTTCCAAGTCACAAAGGTGTCGTTTTGCCTCAGTAAACTTGACCACCAGATCATCCACATATACTTCCACTTTATGATGTAACATGTCATGGAACACTATGGTCATAGCCCGTTGGTAGGTTGCCCCCGCATTTTTTAAACCGAAGGGCATCACCATATAGAAAAAATTTCCCAAGGGCGTTCTAAAAGCTGTCTTTTCTGCATCTTCTGGTCCCATTTTGATCTGGTTATAACCACTAAATCTGTCCATGAAGGAGAACATCTGATGGCCCGCAGTAGAATTGACAAATGTGTCAACATGGGGCAATGAAAACTCATCTTTCGGGTAGGCCTTATTCAGGTTGCGAAAGTTTACGCAAACCCTGATCTGGCCATTCTTCTTCTTCACAGGCACAATATTTGCGAGCCAAGTTGGGTACTGTATAGGCTCAATGAACTTGGCCCTCTGCAACTTTTCTACATTTTCTTTAATCTTTGCCTTAAGATTGGGGTGATACTTTCGAACATGCTGCTTGATTGGCTTAGAGTTGGGAAAAATGTCTAGATGATAGGTGACAAGGGATGGGTTAAGACCAAGCATCTTGTCGTATGTCCAAGCAAAGACGTCACTGTACCGCTTCAGTAGTATTATCAATTCTACCTTAGTTGCTGGATCCATTGTATCGCTAATAAACACAGGCTTGCTTTGTCTTGGTAAGTCGCTAAAATTGACCTCAGCAAGTACCTCCTGTTGTGGTTTGGGTCTATCTTGCATGTATTTAGGGACGAGCTCAGACGTCTCTACCAACCTTTCTTGAGACACATCACCGTCACATTTATTTGCCTCGGGCCATCCTCCCAAGGTATGAAGTTTGGCCCCCAAAACCGTCATAGGTAGTAAACTGTCTTGCCGCCCTCGCGCACCTTAACGATCTTGGGCAGAGGACTTGTGGACTTGCTACTCCTCTTCTACCTACTACTTTCTGGTGCAGCCTCTGCATCCCGAATGTCTTCCTACTTCAGCAATTTTACCCCTGCAACTTTACCAGTCCTTGATGTTTTATCCATTGACAAGTCAGTAAAGAACACTGCATCCGAATAGTGTGCTTCCTCCACTCTGAATGGCTTTTCAGACTCATTTATGGTTACTGTGCGTTTTTCCAACTTTGTCTTCACGCATTGGTGATAACTTGACGGGATAGCCCCATATCGATGCATCCAAGCTCTGCCAAGTATCATATGGTAGTTTGTGTCTGCTTCGATCACATGGAACTTAGTTGTGGAACGGATCTCACCAACTGCTAAGTCCACGACAACATGGCCTTTAGTAACCTTTTTCTCACCACCAAAACCCGTCACGGTGATGGGTTGGCAAACCATCATGTACTCTGGGATACCAGCCTTTGCAAAGGTGTCAGTAGTGATGATGTTTATGGACACCCCATAATCAAGGAAAGCATACTTGAACTCTACATCATTGATGTAAGTTGTGACAAAAAGATGACGGTTATGCGGAAATGGGTATGCCCTGTCTGTTTCTGAAAAAGTAATGGCCTCATAATCTTCCTGGATATGCCGAGGCACATACTTCTTGACCTCAGTAACTTTGGTATGGTGTACTTCAAAAATGTTGATGAAGGCCTTTGTTGCTTCCAACCTGGCGGCTTGGCTTAACCCCAGCTGGTCAAAGAAGGTATGAAACTTAATAGAGTTTTGCAAGGCCTGAGCATGAGTATTCTCTGTGAATTTTTCCTCTGCAGGTACTATCTCAGGGAGCTAGCCACTAGCAATTTCTTCTAACTCATCATAGTAGGACGCCATATGCATTTGATCACGCATGGGCCCAAGGTACCCAATCATATGTACATTCTTTCCTTCTCTTTGTGATTAGGATAAGGGTCCTTCCTTACGTCACGATTACTGGTATCTTTGAACTTCAGCTCATTTGTGTCAACTTTCTTTTTGAAGATACTTTTCAAAGTCCAACAATCCCTAGTAGGGTGTCTGGTGGTTCTGTGATAGATACAATAATCTGAACTTTCTTTGTCCTTCTTGGTTGGAGGGACATCAACCAAAGGCAAAGTAAGTTCACCATTAGCTACCCATTCTTTAACCAAGGCCTTAACATTTTCAAGGCTGCAAGGATATGGATTTCTGTCCTCATAACTCTTTCTCTTTTGAGAGGATGGCGCCTCCCCTTGCGAGCGGCTCCCTCCTGTAGAGGTTACCGCAGCAACTCCGCTACGACGAAGGTAACTGTGGCTGTCATGAGATATGTGCTAGGGACCAGTGGTACTGAGGTCCCTAGCTGTCTCAATCAAGGCTAAAAAGGTAGACAGATTATGGTTCACCAAGAAAATTTTGTAGTCGCGTATGGCACCCTCCACATATATACTGACTAAGTGGGTTTCATCCACTGGTTCATGACAGTCAATAGCCTTATCTTGGAACCGCTTAACATAGTCCAGTATATCTTCGCCTTCTTTTTGAACATCTCGCCCAAGTGTGAGGGTTGTAACTTTCTCTTGGACTTGGAAGAACTTCGTGTGGAACTTGTTCACCATCTCTTCCCAACTCTTGATCGAGTTAGGAGCCAAGTTCACATACCAGCTGTAAGCCCTCTCAGTAAGTGATTTGGAGAACTCCCGAAGGCGCAGAGAGTGGTCACTGCCATGGACACCAAGAGTTTCAATGAACCTCACCACGTGTTCTCTGGCATTGCCTTGTTTACCATCAAACTTAATAAACTTGGGCACTACATACCCAGTTGGGTATAGCATGGTCAATATCTCTTGAGAGTATAGGGGTTTCACATTTGGGTCTAGGAGAAATGGCAGTTGCTTCTTGCTACGCTTTTGCTCGAGCATAGCTTGTACTTCGGCTAGAGTAACGAAGTAAGTGGATTGGAATGGACCAATCTGCTCTTGGGTAGCTGAACCAACGACCGTACTGTTCACCTGAGGTACCACCGGAGGCACCTAGATCAGAGCCCGAACCTCAAAGAACAGGTTTGGCACTGGCTTTGGGACTGCTATAGGCGGAGGTGCTTGCAATGGAGCTGGTCTAGAAGCCATGGCCATAATAACCTCAGCGAGAGTTTGCAAAACTTTCAGGATCTCCCTCTACGTATCTTGGAGTGACTAGACTGCCTCAACTATAACACTGTGGTCACGGTCCTCTGCATGTGCTGCTCTACTATTAGAAGAGCCTTGCTACCATGGGGGTTTCTAAACTTTATCCTCTGCCATCATTTCCAGTGAAGTGTGTAAGCCGCTGCAGATATGAACCATCAACAAAGTAGCCTCCCCAGTGGAGTCGCCAAAAATGTAGGGGGTTCAAGGTTAGGAAGATGATTAGAGAGACAAAACTATGTTAATGGTCAAATAATGGTGGAAGAGGCTGGGGAATGAGCAGCAGCAACTATTTGGGAGTTAGCTGGGTGAAAGTGAAACAAGTGGCTCAAGAAGAAATGTATGGCAGTACCAAAATGGGCAGCATCTCCCACAAATCCCCAAAAATTCCTCTTCTTGAACGTTGGGAAATGGGTCCTATTTATAGGTTTTTCCTTGGTACCAAGAGGACACCAAGTGACCAAATAGAGAGAGGACATGTGTCCTAGAGGATCACATGGAATATTCTGCCTTGAGCCACCAGGCTGAAGGTGCAACGTGTCCCCCTGCATGTACTGTGTACTATCGGTTTGCCTCCGCAACTACCTTTTTTTAAGCCTCAGCAAGTGTATTTACGATGGAAATGTTTGGCGCTGCAACTCTCTTTTGAGCCTCAACAAGTGCAGTTACAGCGGGAGTGTATGCCGTTACATTTGCCCTCTCAATTCTACTTGGCCAGTACATGCATTCTCAAGACTCCATTAGTCTGCTATCGACTATGTTCGTGTTCACCTCAGTGAAGCCTCCACCCTTAGCCACCTAACCACAAATTCCCCAGCTTCCGAGGGCGAAGGCTACAACCAAGCCTGCTATCAGCTATGTTATGCTTTAGTACCAAGCCCAAGGGGGCTTCCTTAATCCTGCCTATGCGACTAAGGCAGATCCATGACCTAGGTAATGGAAAGGGAGTCCCTTATACTTCGGCTACCCTGCTCCCATCTTCGCGGGATCGTCGCAGTAAACTGGTATTTATGGGCCTGCTATCAGCTCAAACCAGTAAGTCTTGGGGTCTTCTATCAGCACAAGTTAATGAACTTTAGGGCTTGCTATCAACCCTGGGTTAGTAATGCCTTGGGGCTTGCTATCAGCGTCAAGCATTAGCCTCTTCTTACAGAGGGAAAACTTTTCCCAAAGGCTGCTATCACTTCGGCGAGATGTTCCCTTTGTAAATTGGTTCCGACGGCTATAGTTGCTGCAGCAGTCGCTTTCCGTGGCAAGTTTAAATGCCAAAACTGACAATATTGGAGATGGCGTCGACAAAGTGCTTCTACAACTTGGGCACTGCAAGTAATGCCTCTGCAACTCGGTTGCTTCGATTCTCTCCTTCCCTTAGCAACTCCAAGTGGCGGCGGTACCGACAATACTTCGAATGGCAGTGCTAAGACAGAGTGCCTCCGTAACTTGGCTGTCGCAAGTGTTGCCTCTACAACTTAGTTGCTTCGGCTTTCTCTTTTCCTCAGCAACTTCAGATGGTGGCTGAACTGACATTATTGGGTAATGGTGGCGCTAAGGCGAAGTGCCTCAGCAACTTGATCGCCGCAATTGTTCCCTCCGTAACTTAACCATTGCATGTGTTACCTCTTCAATTTGACTTAGGCATTTTTCTTCATGGAGTCTGTTTGGAACCTCGGCGGGTCGGACCTGCTTCGGCCTTCTGTTGGCCCACTTCCCTTGCATGCTCATTTTTCATTCCTGGGAGTGAACTCAGCACTTAGGCCCATACTTAATTTGAAACTTAATTTCTGAACCTTTACATTCACCATTATGTATACGAGATCTATTAAAGTACGTCCCACTTGAGTGCCTTGAGACAATGCCTCAAGAGCAAATATTTTATACGTCCTATATTTACATTGAGACTAAATAAATGCATGACTCTGATACTAATTGAGGTAAGGAAATTTGTAGAACTAAAAATAACATAACAAAAATAATCACCCCAAACACAAAGAAAGGAAACTATTTTTATTTTATTTTAATTTTACTAATAATCAAAGCACACTCATAGCTACAAATTTTGCAATTTTTTTTTTTTAGAATGATAATAGCCCTAACAACCCTATGAGCAAGAAAATAAAATATTAGAAAACTAATTACAAGTTTTGTACACCAAGTATTCTTGATTCTTGTAGAATAATTATCCAACAAAAACAGAAACCTAAATAATTTGAAGTTATTTTATATTAAATCAAAATATTCCTAGTCAAATAATAATTTGTCACCAAACACGGTAGCACTTAAGCATAATTCTATTTTATCTTCTTAGTTGCTTCCATTTTTTATGGGGCCATGTTTATTTAATTTGCATAATAAATATCAAAGTTTTCAGAATTTTATTTATTTTTATTTATTTTTGCCCTTTTGTCATATGCTAATGCTGCGCAACACTTTTCTAAGGACAAATTTTGTGTGAATTAGCTAAAGTGATCTTATCCAATTTATCATGGGTTTGTTGGGTTTACATTACATGTTTGTACAAGAATTGATAATTTCTCTTCTATTATGAGACATTTTGTTATATTATTTAGTACGAGTTACATTAACAAACTTTATAATTTGGGACTTATGTCATTTTATCATTGATTTTTTAATTGTAACATATTTGACTTTAAATTTTGAATATTGTTCCAAATAACGATAATTAAAGATATTATTGCTCAATTTTAAGGACAAAGTCGTTCCAAATAACAGGTGGCGATTGACAATTAAAATAAATATATATATATATATATATATATTTGATAAAATATAAACTAATTTGACAAAAATAAATGTCAAAAAAATATTTTTGAATTTTTAAAAATTATTTATATCCACTAAAGATAAAATTATGTAAAATTGATAAATCTTTTACACATTTATTTATTTATTTATTTTACCAAATTAATTTTTATTATGTGTTCGGATGATGATCATATAATGGATGGTTATTTTTATTTTCATTAAATTAGTTTCTATTTTTTCAAAAGTCAAATATGGAGACAACTTTGATATTATCATTAAACCAATCCATTAAATCAAAAAATCCAAAACTAAAAACATCTCATATATTAAATATATCGATTACACATTAAAAGCCTAACAACCATCCATTACATGATCATTATTCAAACACATAACAAAAATTAATTTGATAAAATAAATAAATAAATGTGTAAAAGATTTATCAATTTTACATAATTTTATTTTTAGTGGGTAGAAATAATTTTTAAAAATTCAAAAATATTTTTTTGACATTTATTTTTGTCAAATTAGTTTATATTTTATCAAATTGACAATTTTTTCCTTCAAATTGAGCAATAACATCTTCAATTGTCCTTATTTGGAACAAGATTCAAAATTTAGGGTCAAATTTGTCATAATCAAAAAATTAGGAATTAAAGTGATGCGAATCTCAAACTATAAGAACTATCAGTATAATTCACCCTATTATTTATTTCTTCTCCTTTATGTGATTATAGTCTTGTTTGGTTGTTAAATTTCTATAATTACTGAATTATGATTATTCTGATATAATTCTCTTTATATTGTAATAATTTGCTATTGATAAAAAATAAATATAAAAAATTATCATGACTGCCCTTATTGTAAAATTACATAATCTTATATTTATTGATTTTTAACAAATTATTTCACAAATATTTTATTTTTTAAATAAATGAAAATTAGATGCATTTAAAAAGTAGAAAAAAATTTGACTAAATATTAGAAAAAAATCACTAAAAATAAAAATATATATATAAATTAAAAACTTGAAAATTAATTTTAAAAATTCAAATCAAACAGAGTGATTACTGTTTAAAATTAAAATTAAAATTAAAATCAAAATCAAGCAGTTTTATAAGCTGGTCGAACAAGACTGTCTTTTGGGCTGCAATGGTCTTGGCCAAGCCCATCAGGCTTCTGCCAAAAAGGCCGTTAAACCCACCACTTATGGGCTCTGCATAAACCATACGATCTGTGTTGGCCCAAAAATTTCAACTATAGATATTTAGATATGTGCAATATGTTATATAACGATCAGGGAGCTGGCCACTAGAAAAGGGATACCACGGCGTTTTAAGAAACGCCACCTAAACCTATAAATTAAACGGTTAGATTTTTTCAAAAAATATAACGGCGTTTCAAAAATGTCGCTAAATATCATAGTGACGTCATAGTATGTTAGATAAGACATTTGGCGGCGTTTTTAAAAACGCCGCCTATACTAATATAACGACGTTTTTCAAATGTCGTAAAGTTATAGCGACGGCCGCGTCATCGGCGTTTGGTACTAAACGTCACAAAAGAATTAGCGACGTTTTTACTTTATAGTGGCGTTTTTTAAACGCCGCTAAAGGTGAATTTTCCCGCAGTGAGTGCTACCGTGTTTGGTGACAAATTATTATTTGACTAGGAATATTTTGATTTAATATTAAATAACTTCAAATTATTTAGGTTTCTGTTTTTGTTGGATAATTATTTCTACAAGAATCAAGAATACTTGGTACAAAACTTGTAATTATTTTTCTAATATTTTATTTTCTTGCTCATAGGGTTGTTAGGGCTATTATTATTCTAAAAAAAAAAATGCAAAATTTATAACTATGAGTGTGCTTTGATTATTAGTAAAATTAAAATAAAATAAAAATAGTTTCATTTCTTTGTGTTGGGGTGATTATTTGTTATGTTATTTTTAGTTCTACAAATTTCCTTACCTCAATTAGTATCAGAGTCTTGCATTCATTTAGTCTCAATGTAAATATAGGACGTATAAAATATTTGCTCTTGAGGCATTGTCTCAAGGCACTCAAGTGGGACGTATTTAATAGATCTCGTATACATAATGATGAGTGTAAAGGGTCAAAAATTAAGTTCCAAATTAAGTATGGGCCTAAGTGCTGAGTTCACCCCAGGAATGAAAAATGAGCATGCAAGGGAAGTGGGCCAACAGAAGGCCGAAGCAGGTCTGACCCGCCGAGGGTCCAAACGGACTCCATGAAGGAAAATGCCTAAATCAAGTTGAAGAGGTAACACATGCAATGGTCAAGTTGCGGAGGGAACACTTGCGACGATCAAGTTGCTCAGGCACTTCGCCTCAGCGCCACCATTACCCAATAATGTCGGTTCAGCCACCATCTGAAGTTGCTGAGGGAAAGAGAAAGCCGAAGAAACTAAGTTACAGAGGCGACACTTACGACAGCCAAGTTGCGGAGGCACTCTGTCTCAGCACTGCCATTCGAAGTATTGTCGGTATCGCCGCCACTTGGAGTTGCTAAGGGAAGGAGATATCGAAACAACCGAGTTGCAGAGGCATTACTTGCAGCGCCCAAGTTGTAGAGGCACTTTGTCGACGCCATCTCCAATATTGTCAGTTTTGGCCATTTAAACTTGCCACGGAAAACACTGCCGCAGCAACTATAGCCGCCAGAACCAATTTACAAAGGGAACATCTCGCCGAAGTGATGAGCAGCCTTTGGGAAAAGCTTTCCCTCTGTAAGAAGAGGCTAATGCTTGACGCTGATAGCAGGCCCCAAGGCATACTAACCCAGGGTTGATAGCAAGCCCTAAAGTTCATTAACTTGTGCTGATAGAAGACCCCAAGACTTACTGGTTTGAATTGATAGTAGGCCCATAAATACCAGTTTACTGCGACGATCCCGCGAAGATGGGAGCAGGGTAGCCGAAGTATAAGGGACTCCCTTTCCATTACCTAGGTCATGGATTTGCCTTAGTCACATAGACAGGACTAAGGAAGCCCCCTTGGGCTTGGTACTAAAGCATAACATAGATGATAGCAGGCTTGGTTGTGGCCTTCGCCCGAAGCTGGAAATTTGTGGTTAATCTCTCTCCC